AAGCTTGATATTTGGGGGACAGTGTTGTGCCTTGCCTGGATTTTAGTTTTGTAGTTTCCTATGTTTTAAAATTTCAGTATAAAAAGGTCCCTAGATTCATTAAAGAGCAATTTGGCAGCTTTAACTTTTGGAAGACGAGGTAAATATTTTTTTTCATAATTTGAGCTCCAGTAAAATTAAGACACTCTCCCATTGTCAATATAAACCTTTAATTCTTTTTCCACTCATTTTTTTAACCTCAGAATTTATTTATTGATAACATATCTATTAAAATTAATGGATTTTGTTTTTGCTTTTAAAACTTTAAGTTGTTCTAGTATCTCAGAAGTTGAAAATGCTTCTGGTCCAAACAATGTTAGAGTTGTAAATATTGCCATTGACTTATATCTAATAGATTATGTTTGTTTTTTTTAACATAGAATATATTAAAAATTCATCTTCATCATGAATTGGTCCAGAATCAGTATCCCTGCTTCCACACAGTTTTAACATATTCCCATCTTTTTTTCAATTTTCAAGGTTGGGTTTACCCATAAATTCAATTTGGCTTGAGAAAGAGTCATTTTTTATTAGACATTCCATTCCATAACTTCCTAATTGATGTAATTGTTTCCGGAGATACCAGAGTTTTGGTATATTTAGATCCTATACAACCAAAGGTGTTGCCCATGAATATTACAGATTTGCCCATATTGGAAAATTAACACCAATTGTTGGCTTTGAGTATTTAATTCTTGACAATAGGTCAGCATTATGATATAGTACCAATGAAGGAGAATATTTGTAGCTCAGAGTTGAAATGGAGGGGTCCTTAGTGCTCTCTGTGCTTGCTTGTTTTCTTGCAGACATTTCATTATTCTAACTAGGTAACATCATCAGTGCTAGTAAGGAGTGCTGTTTGCTGTCAGTTTATATCAGGGGTCTTCAAACGTGGCCCTTTTATGACTTGTGGACTTCAACTCCCAGAATTCCTCAGCCAGGCATGCTGGCCGAGGAATTCTGGGAGTTGAAGTCCACAAGTCATAAAAGGGCCACGTTTGAAGACCCCTGGTTTATATTAACTCCAAGGCCAACTTCAGACCAACAATCACATACGCAATACCCCAATCAAGAACCTGCCAAAGAGCCATTAGTAAATAGCCCAACCAAAGAATTCCTAAGACCGCCCCCACCCACACTGGACAGGCAAGACACCAGAATATAAACTGACAGCAAACAGCATTCCTTACTAGCACTGATGATGTTACCTAGTTAGGGTAATGAAACGTCTGCAAGAAAACAAGCAAGCACAGAGAGCACCAAGGACGCCTCATGATGATATGGCTCCAGTTTCAGAAAACTGAATCCTCCCTTATTAATTGATAATTGCATTTTCTTAAATATATTCTTGGAATCAAAGAACACGATAGAAATTCTCTAAAAAAAAGAATTTATTTTCTGGAACTATTGTCCTGATATATAAACTGAAATTCCTTTCAGAATATAAATTAATCTGACAATAATATTCATTTTGAGAGTATTTACCTTTCCTCTTAGAATCAAGGAGCTAAGACAAAGTCTTAACAGTATACTTCTGGCGTGCAGCATTAAAGGCATAATGAGGTATCTAGACTAGTATTGTATCAGAGCTATAGCAAGCAGTAAACTGCATGCTTTACTGTTGGAAGTGACTGACTGAAAAGTTGGCTTCTAAGAATTTATTTAAACCAGTGGTTCTCAACCTGTGGGTCGCGACCCCTTTGGGGGTCGAACGACTCTTTCACAGGGGTCGCCTAAGACCATTGGAAAACACATATTTCCGATGGTCTTAGGAACCGAGACACCGCTCCTCTATCCGTTTCCGCACGGCTTCGAGCTGGGGGCCGTTGCAGCGCCGGATTCATTTCCGTCAAGCATCTCCTAAGGGATGCCGCGCTGCTTCACGGCCCTTTCCATGGAGGAGGCTGAACTAAGCTCTGCCGGAGCTGTCGCCCTCTTGGCTCTCTCTCTCCCTCCCTCTCCCCGCCTGGGTGCTTCTCCAACCAGGCTGCGTGGAGCCAGCGGAGCGGCCTTCCTGCCCCCCCTCCCTGGCCAGCTGGAGCCGGGCAGGTCGGCGACCTTCGGAAGTGAGGCGAGGACAGGCGAGGCACGCTGAGCCCCGGGCGCGGCGGGTGAGTGGGTGGCGTTGGTGCGTGCTTGGAGAGCCCTTAGGGTTGGGGGTCACCACAACATGAGGAACTGTATTAAAGGGTTGCGGCATTAGGAAGGTTGAGAATCACTGATTTAAACAGTGGTACAACTGGTAATAATAGGTTGTTTTTTTCTGTAGGATTATTAAGGGCTTCTGTCCAGCACTGTTGCATTTGTAAAGTTAAATATATTTTCTTCCAAGTCAGCTGCTTACCTTCTAGTGCTTATTTCTTTTCTTCTGAAAAGAAGCAGGGCAACTGTAATATGAGATTCATGCTGAGTAGGAGTCAGAGATATGCCTTAGAACAACAGGCCATATTAAAGGACTGAAAGTCAACTCTTTGTAAACACTGGGCTGTGGTTTGTCTTGAAAAGATCCGTGAGAAGTTGCTGCTAATGTTTTTGTTTTAATAAAATCAGTCAACTTCTTCTGTTAATCTAATTTTTAAAATTAATATTTGAAACATATTGTGGGTTGGTAGTTACTGAGCTACATTTTCCTATAAACTTATTCTATTTCTGATGAGAGAGAGGGAGAGGGAGGATAAATTAGGATTTGAATGCATCTTCATTAAAAAGGGATTGGAAGAATTATATGGAACTTTCATCACTTCCTTTTGAATAGAAACCAAATATAGTTATTGAAGTTATTGAAAAGTACATTGCAGGCTGAACTAAAGGAGATCAGAAAGTGTTTTTCAGTGATATATGAGCTGTGACTCTGATTACAGGATTGTAGTGAAAAGTTCACAACATTAAACATGGGGAAATTTTTCTACAATAAACAATGAATGTTTTTCTGGCTGAAAAATAGTAATACTGAGTGATGGATGTGTGTGGCAAAATGAGCAGTCATCTAAGATATTCTCTGTTAATTGAAGACTTCTTGTGCTTTTCATTTATCTAATAGTACAAATGGATGGAAATTTTGGATCTTTAACTTGTGTTTGCATGAACTTAGTGAGATGGGGAGTGTCTAAATTGGATGGATGCATATGTGTATCTACAACTTAGAATATTTAGAATCAATCTGCTGCTTTATATCCCATCCCTGCATCTATTACCAATTTTGTAGAAAGCTATGTATGTCTGTGTGAATTAATGGTGTATGTTCTAGGTCAGCGCCCCCGCCCCCCATTTTTTGGACACCAGGGGCTGATTCCGTGGAGAGTGGTTTTTCTGCGTACCGGAGGGGGCGTGGTTTTACATGCTACGTACATCCCAGCATGTTTGTGTGGCCTAGTTTCTGGCATGCCGTGGCCTGATGCCGGTCCACGACCTGGGGGGTTGGGGACCCCTGTTCTAGATATTTTCTTTAAGAGTCGTGTTCATGATGCAATTTCTCATGCAACTTATCTTTCAAAGAATAATGATGGTTGCTTTCTTATCATTTTAGTGGGCAGGTGTGCTATTCCAATCACAAACAATGCTGACCCAAATCTGTAAATTGGGATAAAAACAATACAATAGAACTAAATTGGTAATATTGCACAACCTACATACAGCACTGTAAACCTCTATTTACTTGCTTTGGAAAGCCAGGTTGGGGTTCTTCAAAGTTCTTGGTGGGCAGAGAGTGTTTTAAAGGGGAGTGCTGTGATCAGGTGCTTCTTGGGTCCTGTCACATGACATTGCTTCATGGATGGGATCCAGAACATGCCAACTTCATCTGATCTTATAGTACTGGCAGAAACAAAGGGAGAAAGGTAGTCCCACAAGTAACATTACAGTTAATCCTCAACTTGCTACAGCAATAAGGACCAGAATTTCTGTCACTAAGCAATGAGATCATAAAGCTCGACTGCATCACATAGTAACAGCAATGCCTATAGACTTGGTTGCTGTTGTTAACCAAATCCCATAATCATTAGGTGAGGCAGTTTCCTTCCAGTTTCCCACAACAAAGTCATTGGGTAAGCTGATAAGAAGTTGTAAGTTCCATGCCAGCTGGCAGACAAGTGACTCAAGGAGGTTGTGAAGAGGTGTGTGTGGGAGAGAGGGCACAAAAGAGTGCACTGGAGGAGAGGGAGGGGCATAGGCATATATGAGTGGCCAATGTGGCTTGAGTACAGAGGGGCTAGGGGAGGGTGTGCAGGCAGAAAAGACTTACTCCAGAAACTTGTGACCTTCCCTGCAGCTTTCTCAGAAAGTCAGTAGGGAAGCTGGCAAGGAAAGTTGCAAATGACAATCACATGATTGTAGGGCTAAAGCTAATCATAAGTGCAAACTGGTTGCCAAGTGCCCAGATCACAATCACGTGACTGTGGGACTGCTGGGATGGCCAGAATTCCAAGTACCAGTCATAACTACCATTCTTTCAGCACCTTCTTAACTTTGAACCGCCACTGAATGGCCATAGGTTGAGGTCTACCTGTAGTCAATATGACAAAAATCACAGACAATCCACTACCAGACGGAATAAACTACATCGCTTGTCCCCAATACCTGATAAATGTGTTTTCTAATAACTATAGAGCAGCAGCAATTGAGAAGACTGCCTTTGGTGGTCCTTTATATCAGGGGTCCTCAACCTTGGCAACTTTAAGACTTGTGGACTTCAACTCCCAGAATTCCTTAGCCAGGAATTGAAACATCAGACCTCACTTGACACATTTCAGATTTATTATTTTGAAGTATTTCTGAATTTCAAAAGCAACACATATCGGCAAAAATTCTTGGACACTCTGCACTAATTCTGTCTCCTGGCTGCAGTGATTTGGAGCAGATTTTTTCGGGACTGTATTCATTGCTCATTTTTTAACTGCTCACTATTAATTTTTACATTGTTTCACTTACGTGATATTTTAACACTTTGTTCTATTTTGCTTTAGTCACATTGATCAGACAACAACATGGCAGGATCCAAGGAAGACTCTCCTTTCCCAAATGAATGTTACAGCTCCTACAAGCCCTCCACTGCAGCAGAACATAATGAATTCAGCAACTGGTAAGGAGAAATCAACCAAAATTTCTAGAGAATTGCAAGTTTAACATTTAGTATATAAAGTTTATGCTGACCAGTGTTGTTTGTCATTATTGCTGAAAATGGATCTTAAAGAGATTGTCTTCCATAAGTGTTTATCAAACAGATATTTCCTATGAGAAATAAAACACACAAATTTATGAATAGAAAGTGTTATGCAAGTGAAGATAGTAAGCTTGATTCTTTTGAATCATTCTAATTTTTAAAAGAGTACACGAGGATTTATGCAAAATGCTGTAAAAATATATGCAAGCCTTCATTATCCCTTTCCCAGGCTTTGCCTTGTCATGCTGAAAATTTTCTCAGTTTTGTTTCTTTTATATCTTGCTGCATTTATTTCTTATTATTTTGTTTGCTATGACTTCATAGTGGCTTTTGTTGGCATTAGTTTGTCATATAAAACAAATCTTTTTAAAACATCAGTATTGTTTTCTGAATTCCATGTTGCCAAGTGATTTAAGCAATCCAGAATACTTTTTTATAGCAAAGGCATGTCAAACATGTATGTGCTTAAGGCCATGTTACAGCTGTGGAAGGCAGCTCAGTGATCTTGGAAAGAGATGTAGCTACCTTAAGTGGTTGCCCACAGGTATTACATTACTGTTTTTACTTGGGATGTAAATTTCTCACACAGTCCTGAGGAATCTGAATGGACTAGGCCAGTGATGGCGAACCTTTCAGAGACCGAGTGCCCCAAAACTGCCCCGCCCCTGCTCCACCCCCTGCCCTGCCCCTGCTCCGCCTTACCCTGCCTGCCTGCAGGGCCACTCACCGCCTCCAGGGCCCGCCACAGATCGCCCAGGCAGCCCAGTAGTACAGGCAGCCCAGTAGTACCATGGCGGCCACGCCCTCTGCCCACGCCCCGCAGCATCGACTGTGCGCGTTGGGGTGTGAGGGCAGAGTCTTGTCTATGCTGCCTGGCTGCCATGTTCTTGGCTGCGCTGCTCTGTGTGGGCCACGCTCAGGGGCGACTCTCCTCCAGGGAGGCTGCTCGTGAGGTGGGGGTCGCGGGCGGAGGCAAGGCTGGGGCAACGGCATGTGTGCCCACAGAGAGGGCTCCGAGTGCCGCCTCTGGCACCCGTACCATAGGTTCGCCACCACTGGACTAGGCTTTGGATTGGAGGAAATCAGACTGGAGTGTTCAGGGGAAAGGGTGTGGCTTCTCCCCTGTTGGGTTTTGCCATCCAACTTTTTTTCTTAGCTTGTCTTTGGCTTGTCATTCCCACCATCTTTTCATCATTCTAATGAATAATTTTCTGCCTTTAAAATAATATTCAAAGTAGCTTACAAATATATAATGCACAAAGAAAGTCAACTATAAATGTGTAGAACATTTGAAACAAAAAATGAAGTATACTCTACAAAATAAAAAACTAAGAGTATTGAAGAAAAACAAACATTGGTTTTTTGGCAAGCAGTGAAGGAAAGATTTTTTTGAATGAAGATGGCACAGATTCTGCTACAGATACGTTAATAATCAGTGCAGATAGTCCTACTTACAACCACAATTGGAACTGGAACTTCCATTGCTAAGTGATGTGGTCATTAAGTGAGTTGTGCCCAATTTTATGACTTTTATTGTCAGACAGACAGACAGACTGATTGACTAAGCTGAAATGGTTTAGTTCTGCCCCTGCTAGGATTGTGGATCAATAGACATTGGAATAGGCAGTCAGAAAACCTGGCTGCAATTTCCCCAGTAAGAATATACTAATATCTAATATCTGTCTGCTACAAGTTTTGGTATAGTGAGTGATCTGAAACAATTGCTTTTCCCTGACAGAAAAGTCCTGGATTATTAATCTGTAGCTTCTCCATTCATTTTGGTAGATAACATCCAGGCTCTCAGTCTGAATGATAACTAAGTAGGTCTTAATAATCCTCATCTCAGTCCATATCTTGTCCATTTGAAATAAAAATGTAGACTTTATTAAAACATTTGTATGAGCAAATACTTCTATGACTAAGAAAACAAGTATTTTACTCTAAATGGTTAAGGTTTGTTCCATAGGCCTTTATTCTCCATTTGCTGGTTCTCCTTCCTAGAAGATTAAGAAACGATGATACTATAAAAACTTTGCAGAAGTTGTTCTACTGTTATTTGTTCCATTGGCATGTTAAAGGAAAGACTTCTATTTGAGAATATTGTTTGATTATTTAAGAGAGAAAGAGTTCATTTAAAGTTATAGAAAAAGATGTTTATGAAAATCTCCAGGGATTTTTAGCAAAATAAGTGTGTTTATTTATTTTATTTTTTTAAAACCATAATTTAGAGAATGGTAAAAGTTTCACAGTAGTAATTTTTGAATCTGTCTATGCAATAAGACATGTTGCTGATTTGAAAGGACATTCCTTGCTGAGGAATAATAGAGATTTGTAATTAGTTATACTTCCTAAGCTTGGTGAAAAATGATAATTATGGGTATCTAAGAATGTGGAGAGAATACTGCAAATTATTCTGGTGGCAAATGTAGTCTTAGCAGCACACTGATTCATCTTGGCCCAAGATGTAACAGTGGGACATGATTTAATGGCATTGTATGAAGTTCAAAATTGTTTTGTGAAAATAGTATTTAGTATTTGGTTCGACAACATACTAATCATAAGCAGAATCAGTGGTTGAAAAGAGACAGTTATTTAATGGTTTTATTTTATTTACAGTATATAGCCACTCATCTCAAGTACATAACTGGGCAGCTCACATCATTAAATGATATAGCAGTTCTTTGCAAGCCTAACCTGGCATTTGAACCTCATCTCACTTTTATGGAATTGCTTTATGGTATTTTCTAAGCAGAACAAGGTCAACTTTGGCATTTTGTTTTGCTTCCTTGTATTTCTGTCATGGTTCCGGTAGATGAGACCAACTAAAACAGAACTCTGAGGCTTGAGCTTTCCTCTAAGAACATGTTTATTGGTTACAAAGTATTGGCATGGTCAAAAGCGAAACCAAGACTAAAGTTCCCTCCAAAATGTTACAGTAATACAAAGTTAAACTTCCCAGCCCAATACTATGCAATCAACTATGTTTCCCAATAGAATAGTTTGGTGGGCTTTCTAACATAAGGTTCAACCCCCAGTCTAACGAACAGAAATGACCTTGGTTCCCACAGGACAGAAAATTGTTTAGACTAGCATAAAACTTCACATCCCTCCCCCCATTCTTGTGGCTATCGAAAACGAGCAAGATAGCTTCAGCCAGGTTTGTTGCAGAGTTGATAATTTGCTCACATCAGAGCAAAGCATGTGTGAAGGGGGAAGATTATTACTAATGTGAAATGAAATATATTATCCTAGATAATGTATTGAAGTTTTTCAAACCATGGCTTATTAAAGCACCATATTAAAGCAGACAAGATCAACTTGTCTTCAAAATTAAAACAAAATTCTGACCTTTTTTTTAAAAAAAATACTTTATACAGATGGAGATAAATATAGAGATAGATGCAGGCACAGATATAGACTTCCTACAGTTAGGAAGCAAGGCACTGCACTATAGACCCAAAATTTAACAGTTGAAAAGGGTTGAGGATGGTATGAGAAATAAGAGTTAAGAATATTTGCCACAGTTGTATTGGATGAAATTATAGTGGTTTAGCAATTTTGTTTATTCTCAAGCTGCAGAGTTTGATGAGAGTTGGAGTAATAAAGTTAGCCGAACTCTGTCTTATCAATTCTCTTTTTTTAAAAAAATAATATAAACAAAAGTAAAATGAGCAAAGATTTTGGCAGCATAATATTATTCTCGATGTTTTGAATTTTTCAGAAAGACAATATTGCAAATAAACTTTCCTATTTTTCTACACTCTTCATATCTTCCTTTTATTCTCTCTTGATTGACCTTCCCAACTTAAGAGTTTGTTCTCTCTGTTTTTCTTGAAATAACACTGAAAAGTTTGTTAGCTAATCACTTTCATTTTCAACATAATTTCCATAGATTTTCATAATTAATGTGTGTTTTTCATTGAAGCTAAGTGGAGCATGTTCTACTGTGATATTTCAATATGGAACATTAGCAGTGCTCATTAAAACAGGACATTGCTGTTCCCAGCTAATAAACAAACTTCTCCCTGATTAATGGTTTATATAGTTCTTTTATCCTCTAATTTATTTGTGGTCTTACCAAACCTGTGAAAACTACATAATTGCTCTTCCCATTCTGTAGAACAAGGGCAGGCAGCCTGTTGCTCTCCAGTTGTCTACATTAAATTCATGGTTAAAGATAAAAAATGGTCTGAGATTTGTGAAATGATAGTTCAAAGAGTCTGAAGACCATCATTGATTTTCCAGCCCAAAATTAGCATAAGTATTGTTAAGGGGTTCATGACAACCTGTATTAATATATACAGCCTCTTTATTGAGTTATTGCAGGCTATTGTTCTCATATAGAACTCCCACTGTTTCACATAAAAACAGTTGTACAATATAAGGAATAATGTACAATATATGGAAAATTAACATAGATAAATAGGAACAGAAATGTGCCTAAAATAGAGCTTTGAAATGTCCTGAAATATGAATGTTCAGCTAATTCTGAAAAAGGTGCCAAGACAAAAATGAAAATAGGAATAGTTGTTTTGTCTCCTATTATGAAGCCAGGCAGTAGAGCCTGGACTTGTAATTATCCCTTCCTTTTCATTTTCACAATAGGAAGAATTTAGAATAATCAAAAAATGGGGTAAATTTTAGGGCATTTTTATTTTTTCATTCTAAATATTTGAAACAAATGTTTTATTGCAACACAGCTATAGTATTCTTCCTTTTCCTTAAACCCTCAGAGCCACGATATGCTGAAACAATTAGTTTCATGTGTGCTGTGTTTTATGTAAATTAATTGAGGTTTGTTTCTTTTTTTAAGTTTAGCTACTTTTTTTCAGCAGGCATAGCACAGCCTACTATGAATTGCTTCCTTCTGTGTTACAGGCCCGCTCCCTGAAGGATGGGAACAAGCCATGACCCAGGATGGAGAAATTTACTACATAAACCATAAGAACAAGACTACATCTTGGCTAGATCCAAGACTTGACCCACGTTTTGGTAAAAGTTCCTGGCACTTAAAATTCTTCCCTCCACCCACCTACCCACTCTTTCCCCCCATTTAGATAAAAACTAGTAGCTATAGCCAGAGACTTGGCTAATGATTTCAAATTAATTGAGAAATTCACCCCCCCATCTTGATGTCTTGTGCCTTTGCCCACTCCTACTAACAGCATGTAACCCTTTCTCTTCCTTGAGGGCAAGGTGAAACTTCCCAGAAACTCTCTCTTTTCATTCATCTCATCGTATTTCAGTTTTCTGTTGCTTCTCCATCCTTTTTTCAGATTTGAATTTTTCCACTGCTATTACATTTGTTATTTTTATTGTATAAATATAGAGATAATTATTCATATTGCCAGTTGTTTCAAAGATAATTCAGTTTTCTTATTGACCATGATGGTTTAGGTCAGTGGTAGGCAACCTTGGCTCTTTTATGACTCATGGACTTCAACTCAGCTGGCTCAGGAATTCTGGGAGTTGAAGAAGTCCATGAGTCATAAAAGAGCCAAGGTTGCCTACCCCTGGTTTAGGTGTTAATAAAAACAGAGACTACCTGGTGCGCATAGGGTAAAATCAACTTTAAAAAGTCTAGTTCATGATAGTTTTTAAGCCTGTATGTTTACTTAACAAGAAGCTGATATGACTCTGAATATTAATTTAGCTTTCAAATCTTCCTTTAGATTTATGTGTTGTGGGACATTGTTTTAGGTTTCTGTTCTATTGTATATCAGGCATTATTAGGCAGTATAAATTCTTGTTAGTATAATTGTTTGCATTAAAGTAAAGCAATGGCAGTTATTTGTTGTTTAAGCTATCATTATCAGTCTTGTACTCTGACCTAAGAACTTCCCCACAACTGCAGAGTAGATTTTTTTTTAAAAGTGCACATAACACCTTTGTTCAAAATTTACAGCTTCCAATTCTGTATAATTTTCTTTTCATGATATAAGAGTTCATGCAGTAATATCACTTCGTACTTTATCCTTTGAGATGAATTTTCTTGAATATAAAGATTACTGGAAAAAGTTAGGTTTAATTTTCTTTCACTTTTAAACAACTGCTAATGCAGAGGCAGCAAAATTATGCAGAAGTTTCAGTTTTCCCCGTGGATTAGTAATTTGCAATGTTTTTCATGTCCAGTGCAATCCTATGTATGTGTATTCATATGTTAATTTTACAGTGATTAATTGGGCTTCCTAAACTGTGACTTGTAGTGAACTTTGTTTGGAATTTAAGCAGTCAAAGGTATTTTCCAACTAATACAGGAAAAAGTAAAGAAATTGCAATAAAATATTAGCATATGCCTCTTTCTTTAATAAGAACACTTTCATTCAGAACTGCAGCATAGTTGAAGCTTAAAGAGTGAAGGAAGAAAAAGAAATATTCCCTTCCATTAAAATCTCCCCATTCTTTATTATGTAATAAGAAAAGGAGATCAAAGACTGTCTTAATTCTCAAATGTAACAGAGATAGGACTAACTATTTATCATTATAACTTTTAATTGCTACTATTATTATTTCATTCAAGATGCTATAATAGGACTTATATTTCCAATTTTTTCATATAACAGCTTTGTCAGCTGGCCTGAATTGACTGATAGTGAAGAACCATGAATCTTTCACCGGTTCTAGTCCTATACTTTATTAACAAATAAGTATCTGGCTCTAAATGGCAGAGGTGGGGCAGCTTCCGGAGAGTTGCAGAAGAAAGGTGTTTTTTTCTTCTGTCTTATTCTAGAAGTACTTCATAAGACATGGGGGGGAAAAGAGTTGAAAAACTCTTATAGCACATAATTCATTTCTGTTACCAGTTCTAAATCCTGTAAAAAGTCAGGGGTTATAAGACTGTTTTCTTTTCCATTTTTTTTTAAAATTATCACTCACAACATATTGTCACATTTCCAGACATCTAGGTGCACAGAACATTTCTTCCTTCCAATCCTCACATTATACATATTGCATGGATGACGATGCAGTTCAGTTATCACAGTGGGTCTGTAACTGCTTGATAATACTGAATGCTGCTTAGCAGGATCGAATAGGAATGACAGTCCACAAATTACTTCTTAGTCCAATACTTGGCTTATGTCATTTGAAAGTATTGTTCTGCAAATTTGGAGTCTGGCTGAATAATTGAAACTACCATAAACTGGAAGAGCTTAATGGAGACTTCTACTGCTTGATAATAGCTTGAATAATTATCTTAACTTTCTTCAAAGTTGGACAAAACAATATTTAAAACACTAGATAAATCAAGGATGATATTACTATCTGCTCACAACAATTTGAAGACACAGTTGCCAGATTTTTTAGCTGATGTTGGCCTTCATATACATCACGTTCTTCCCAAGAACCTAGGATGTTGTAATGATATGTGCAATGTAATCTGGGTTCCCAGCAGGGAGGGGCTGTTTTCCAGAGAGCAAAGAAGCAGCGGAGCTTGCAAAGAAAGAGGGTTAAAATAGTTCCTCTGTAGCTATTCCCAGAATATATCTGTAGTTATGCCAATAGTTGCTTTAGTCTGGCAAGATTCTGTCTATAGGTGGAGAGTGATAAAGGAAACTACTCTTAAGTGTTGTTCTTGGGGCCTAGCAAGTTGTGCTAAAAAAGGCATGCTTCCTTGCTCCCATAAGATGACAGCATTTAATTGATGGGACTTGGAGTGCATCCATTCTGCAGATGATGCATTTAGGCAGAGACATGTTAGTATCTAAAGAGGAAAGATATGGATAATCCTGTAGATAGGATTGTATCTGAAAATGTGGCTTAATCTGTTTCCCATAAATGTATGCAGTTAGCATACCTAATATTATTATATGATTTTCAAAGGCAGATTAGAGGTGTGGTAAACTTTTTGCTTAAAGCCTACTACTGAATATATTAGCCTTTGCCTTTTTCCTAATTGTATCTGACAAGTTAAGTTACTGGTGGATACTTTCAGGTTTTCATAAGATTGTTTTTCAAATGTATTCGTGTTGAATACATACTCTTAATTTCCAACGGCTGATGTGTACCTTCATTTGAGTGAAAAGTGATGTCTCTTTCAAGTCAGTTCTTGATTCTGCTCTTATGACTACCCATATATTTGTATAACCTCCCATCTCACAAAAAGAACTTTGAGCGGTGTGCACGATCAAATAAAACAACAGATAAAATATATATAAAATTCTACATTAAAAGATAAATGTTATAGAAATGAATTTACAGACCCTAGGCAAAGAGGATAAAAATGGCTACTTTAGCAATGGAGTCATCTGAAAATGTCATTGGTCTATATAATTCAGTGGTTCTCAACCTTTTTAATGCCGCGACCCCAACCGGCCGTAAGTCAAGGACTAAACCGGTCGTAAGTCGAGGACTAAACCGGTCGTAAGTCAAGGACTACCCAACCGGTCATAAGTCGAGGACTTTCCCTGCCCGGGAGCGCCACACATGCGTGGTTCCGCCCCCTGCGCCGGCCGAGGCATAGCTGGCAAGCGGCAGAGACAGCAGGCCGACCACCAGCTGGCCCAGCCCAAGGGAGGTAAGGCACCCACCGGAAAAGGGGAAAAAATGGCGGACAACCTTGCTTGGCGACCCCCGTGAAATGGTCAATCGACCCCAAATGGGGTCCCGACCCACAGGTTGAGAACCACTGATATAATTGGCTTGATAGCACATAGAAGTGCTTTCCTCCAGGATGTGTATGCTTCCCATCACTGGAATTTCTTGATTGTCTTCCATCCATGTATTAATCTCGCCTTACAGTGTAGATGTAGATAAAATTATCCAGGTACTGTTCATCTGCTGAGACTTTTAAATGGTATATATCACATAAAGCTTGTGTGTGTGTGCGCGCACGCTTTCAGGTTAGTCTTGACTTCTAGTGACTTCCTAGAGTCGACTAATCCTTGCAGTTATCCTGGCAAAATTTCAGAAGTGGTTTGCAGGTTAAGGGTGATAAAAATATTATTATTATTATTATTTTTATTTTAAAAATTAGCCTTGAAATATTTTTTGAAAATATAGGCAAAAAATGATTGATCAACTAAGCCAGACATGTTAAAACAAAAGGCCCGGGGGCCGGATGCGGCCCGCGAAGTGGTTTCATGTGGCCTGCGAAGCCATCCTGGAAACAGTGAGGGAACGGCCCCTGCTGCCTTGGCCCTGGCCCAGGCCAGCCGGGAGCCAATGTACAATTTTGTGGTGGCCATCTATGCTGAAATGCATTTAGTCTTAGCTCCACAAGGCCGTCTGGAAACAGCGAGGAACCAGCCCCTGCTGTGTCGGCCCCATCCCCTGGGTTCATGCTGGGGAGATGTCACCCTTTATGAAGAATGAAGAAATGCACCATCGCCTGGAATTGGCCAGCAAATGGCCCTCGCCTACTTCACATATCCGGCTTGATGGGCTCTGCCCTGGTCCCACCCCTTTCTGCCAGAGATCCTCAGATCTGTCCCACTCCTGCCCAGGCCCCCACAGAGACCCTTGACGCGAATGATGTAGAGCTGGCCACACTCACCCAGTAGGCCCTACCACTCCAGTAGGCCGCACCCACCCGCCCCCCCCGAGGGCAACCGCAATGCTGATGCAGCCCTCAATGAAATTGAGTTTGACACCCCTGAACTAAGCAATATTATAAAATGGAAGAAAAGGCCATTTTGAGCTTAAAGCCGCGAAGGTGGTACCCCAAAACACTGGGGTAAGTGACATATAAATCATCTTTAGGAGAATGCATCATTTATGGGAATCCCCTTTAGTCAAGCTTGTCAAGCCTCTCAAAGGGGCTGGGATAGGAGGAGGTGGGATAGTGTTTCAATCAAGGTCATGTTGCTGGCAAATTCTCGGAGTTCAAGTCCACATGTCTTAAAGTTGCTGAGGTTGAGAAACACTAGTATAGGAGATGGTCCTTCTGATATTTGTTGTGATGATTTTTAGTCTTGACTTCAGTCTGTTTTACTATGAGAAGTGGATTGTATTTGGACAGAATCAGGGAAGGGTACTTCTCCAGGGAAAGAGTG